AGTAATTTATTCATTAAATCAACTAAAGGGCCTTATCGTGAAAAGTTGATGACTTGTGTAAATTACACTTTCGCTCAGTTGGTTATTGTGGGAGAACAAGTGGAGGATGGAATCAAGTCTGGAATTATTATGGATTATCAAGCAATGAAGAGTATCCTTGAACAATACCGAAAGGGTAGTTCAAGGGTTTCTAGTTTGAAGAAAGTGGGTCAAAATCAAAACAAGGAGAATGAGAATGGCACTATAAGCTCAGTTTATGAAACATATGGGAGAAATAATCAACCACATCCTCGGGGGCAATTCAATAATTCTTTCCAAGCTGCAACTTATCAACCGACAGTTTATTCAAGTCAGCCAAGGCCAATTTATGCCTCTGGTATCAATCATCCGCAACAAAAAATGAGACGACATTTCGACAAGCTTCCTTTGTCATACACTGAAGTGTTTCAACAATTGGTAACAGCTGGTCTTGTTACTCCCGTACCTATGGTGCCATTAAATCCACCATTTCCAACATGGTATAACCCACAAGCAAGATGTGAATACCATAGTGGAGGTGTTGGACATGACCTTGAAAATTGTCTTGCTTTAAAGCACCGTATGCAAGATCTGATAGATGCAAAGGAGTTACAGATTGCATCAGAACCAAAGGTTGTTGGTCCGAATATCACTAAAAACCCCCTACCAACACATGATAGTTCAACAGTCAATATGATCAAGAAGGATTTTGAGGAAGGTCAAGAGGTGGCTGCAATTACTTTTATCAATCAAGTTTCATCAATTCCTAGACAGCCTTTAATATTGAAGGGACCAACGCTTACAGTTCCACTCAAACAAGGTTGATCTTAGAACTGCTACTGATGAGGGCTTGAATAAGTGAATAATGGAGTTTTTCCCTATTGCTATCATTTTGGAATGAGATGTTAGTCTTTATTTGCATTTTCCAAACTCCCTTCATATTGCAACTTGAATCTTTGTTCTTCATGTTTTAATTCATGGTTCTTTAGTTCTTGATTTTTATACTTCCATGAGTTGCACTGTTAGTGAACTTGAATTCACTGTTGAACCCCATAGAGAAAATCGAGGGTTGAGAAAAAGAGAAGTGAGGGAGGTGATTGAGGGGAAAATAATGGATGAGTGGGAATGAAGGAAATGTACAAAGAGAAATTGATCTCACAATTTGAAACAAACATTCCTATGATAGAAAGCTTGAGAATCCTTATCCTTACCATTTGAAACCTTTGCCACGGAATCATATTTAAGAATTGCCACAAATTGCACAAAACCCAAAAAAAAAAAA